GTTGATTTTTTACCTGATACCAGCAAACACAAATACATATCTGATACATAACAATCACATATTTCTGTTTCCATCCGATATTGCAGACATATTATTTGTACAGTTAATGTATCTTGCATGATGTAACGTCAAATTTCCGCCTCCCTGAATATGTCCTCCTGACATATGTTGAGCGTTTTCGAAGTAGCATTGCATACATGTATCAGATACATTATAAGTAACGAATTTGTTCTAATAATGATACTCAAATGACTGTTACAGAGTAATATATGTGAGATGAATCCAAAATAATGTACTTGATCATTTCGAGAAATATACAGGAATTTGAGTGTCGACAGCCATATTGATAACTTTGTTATTATTGAAGATACAAAATTGTTCACATCAACAAACTATCAGAAGATACATAAGTATTTCTGACTATAGAAGAAAATGTCTCATTATATGTTACAAAAAACGCGATACCCAAATGTTTATTTTTATTCTTTCCCCATAAAGAGCATTGAAAATACTGCTAGTTTGATAATTTGAATAATGTTGTATATTCATTTATAACAAAGTTTTCTATGGTGGAAACTCAATATTTGGATAACTTTGTATACTCAGGTTGTAGTTACCTACTCGTTTGTAGTGTTTCATGTATGATTGTTTTCAGTACCTATATAGTCCTAGAGAAATGGAAATCATTGTTTCTAGATTGAAAATCAATGAAAAAAATTTCAGACTTCTTCAGCAATGAAGAGAGAACTGAATAATAATTAATTTGCAATCATTCGAAATTGAAGTTTCAGTTACATCACTGAAAAAACTTCATACCTATGATAATGAAGACAAAATATTGAAGATGAAAATTTTATTATCAATTTGAAATGATTCAGCAATTCAGCATTCCTGGCAGCAAAATGGAAGAAAAGGTACTTCAGTGGTAATGATAGGTAAATTGAATGGTAAATCACCCATACTCCAGGAATGTTTTCTCTTCTGAGAAAAGCACTGCACATACTATATATATATATATATATATATATATATATCTTTTCTGATAGCACTTTTGACACACCAAAATGTCTCGGTGGAACTTTGATGATACACTATTGATAGGTGAACCTTCGTGTGTTTCTAGTTGGATTCTAGAGTTTTAGTTCTCAGGTTGAAACCGACTTTGGAAAATGCACTTGAAAGTGTAGTGGAATATGGAATGTTTGATTTGTTTGATGACCCAATATAAAATCTTCTGTCAAAGAATCTCTCCTATTTTCATGCTTTCGGATTTCCTAACCCATCCTCCCATCCATATTGTCCCTAAAAGTCACAAATAAAAACACCATTACTCCCAACATCCATTTGAGCACATGCTTCAGGTTCAGTTGTCATGGAACGGCTGATGGTACTTACATAGATAAACAGACATTGGGAATTGCACATGAAAGTGTCATGGAATATTCAATGACCCATAAGTCTTTCGAATTGATCTCAATAGTCACAGATAAAAACATACTTTCGAAACCCCATTGGGCATCTTCAGATGATTCAGCTGCTTTGGAGTGTCTGGTGGTACTCACATAGATGAATGCACATTAGCAGTGTAATCATGTAGAAACAGATAATTAGGTAGGTAAATCATTTTCATTTGTGATATTACACCCTCGATTCCACCTCTGTCTTGTACTGAACTCGTGAACATATTTTTGAGATATTTCAATATCACTATAAACAATCCACAATGAAAACAATACACTATTTGATTTTTTTTCTGAAAAAATATGTGAGTCAAACAAGCAAATCATAACATAACCTTCAAAGGAAACTGTGACATGAAGTTCTCTCCATCAACTAGGTACCAATAACTCCTACAGAACAAAACGTTTCACTGTTACGAATATGTTGCTGATTTTAGGAATAATCTTGTATAGTTTCGAGAAATAAGTGAAACAGGCGATTTTGTTTTCTTCATCATACAGGTATAATTCAACTGAATAATCTTTTTTCATGGCACTTGAAGCATCATATATGTAGATAATATGTTTCCTGTTATGTTACCACCTAAACAAGAAAATATATTGCATGAAATGTAATAGCTTTGTAGCAGATATGTTCCACGGTGATATTTCTCCGTAACCCTGATGAACTCCATTCGCCATATGGCAGACATATGTGTGTTTGCTGGGATGATATAAGGTCCCTACATAGAGTTCTGAAGTTTCGGACAAATACGTACCTCGTTTTCATTTTGGGTTGTACAAACACACCAGGTCTACTTCTGCGTAGCCTGTTTCCCTGGTTCTGATGTCTCATTGGCCCTTCATGCAAATGCTGGCGATTTTCAGATTGAAACGAACAAATTTGTGGATATCGTTCATCTTCATCATCAGATAAGTGATGAAATCTTCGCCAGGTCTGCATCAAAAAACCACGTCAACTGGGAGCCTTATCGCTTTTTCAAATAGCGCCTCCGCTGGAGTTTGTCCCGTACATTCCTGTACTGCAGACCTATAGGCCATCAAGAAGAAATGGATATAATGGTCCCAGTCTTGCTGAGTGTTGATCCATGACTTCACGGTGATACTTATTCTAAATGGTTCGATTCTTGCGAACTCCTAGCTTCTCACTCATCTTCTGGAACACCTCACTCTCGAAGTTTCGAAGTTTCGGCGTTGATCAATTCCCATGGCATCCCAGAACGACTGATGAGTTGGTTCATTTAGGAGATCAGTGACAGTTACGGCCTCCTGGTTAGGGATCGCATACGCTTTCACCCATTCGCTTGGTGAAGTAGTCCATGCTTACAAGAATATATTTGTTTCAACTATTGGTCCCTGGAAATGACTTAGCAATATCAAAGGCAATCTTCTCGAATGGCCTCCCAACATTGTATTGTCTCATTAGGATCCTTGGTCCACGATGAGGTCTATTGCTGGCGAAGCAAACGGTGCATTCACGGCCTTACACAAATAGCGAATATAGAATAAAGACAGAATTAGACAAATGTTGGCTGCAAAAAAAAACAGAAAAGGCTATGCCGTACCTGAAATGAGACTCTATGAGAGAAAAATACGTGTTCCTGGCAATAGCAGAACCAAGCTCATTTGATACAACTCTAATGGCATAGCAACCTGATGCTAGTTATTTTTTTAATGACGTTACCTGCTCTTCAAACCCTGATTTTCTGTCAATATGTATACCTAGGAATTTAGTACCTGTTCTGTTTTCAACTTGCTGTGTACCTAATGTCAGATTTTCGAACTCAAATTTGAAGGTTATATTATTTGTTTTCTCCACATTGAAACATAGATAGTTTGAATCGCACCAAGATTTGACCTCGTAGAATTCCTGGGCTACAACTGTTTTCAACTATTCATTTGAAACCGGTGTTTTCCCAAAGTGCCTAAAGTCAGCTAAAATTACTGCAGTATACAAAAAAAGAGATAGAACCTGTATTGAGAATTATAGACCTGTATCTGGTCTCTCCCCATTCTCCAAATTGGCAGAGTACTGCATGCGTACTACAGGCACAAAGTCAATACTACCTGAAGCTCGGATGCCGTGCCATATGTATGCAATGCAACAAATAATCCGTGTGGTAAGAATATTTTACCAGTTTTTACAGTTCAGGTTCATTCAATTTTCAAGGATGTTCGAATTGTAGTTTCGATATAAATACAATCACAGAGTGACTTATTTGTGTATTCTATTGAATCGATGAAACGATGAATTTATGTGGACCAGGTGTCAGCCTGTTAGGTTAGTGAGCATATCAACAATAATGATAGCAATTATTTATGTCTCTCTGTATTCTACTGTGTTTGGCTCGGTAATCAAATGAAGGTAAACAATATCGTTTTGTGGGAGGCAAAAAGGTATTGCTATCAGAACTATCAGAAGACGAACCAATAACCTTCTGTTCAATCTGAATAGATCAATAAACAATAAATAATTTTTCAGATAATGAAAATGGATTAGGTAGGTACCTATACCTACTTCTGTTTCATAGTTCTTGTTGTCGACGAATTAGATCCAAATTTCTTTGTCTTTCTTTAGCTGCCGCTGCTGAAATACCATCTCGAACAATTAAAATTATTTTTTTTTGTCTTGGGATTGGAAAAATCGAAATTCATAAAAACAACATAACCACCATAACCTCAAATTTGTGATGGCTTTTGGGGCTATGGCCTCGGTACTCGTTTCATTGGATTAAAATCTCATCTCATTCAGCCAAAAAACCGACGATTTCCGAAGTCGAATTCGATCGCGACTTGATCGAGAAATAGAGAATAGGAAATGAATTCGACTTCGAGTTCATCATCGTATCGTACGACAATCGCCGATCGTTAAACAGAATCCCCCTGCTGTACTGCGATTTGTAGGATCGAAGCTATAAACAAAGCAAAGTTTTTCATTTCTCTTTCTGATGGCAATAATTGAACTCACACTCTCTGTTTTGTTAGTTATAATAATGTTTGATAGAAGCATCAAAGATTGCAAATTTTCTGTGTGTGTGTTTGATTCACAAAACCAATCATCTCATTCAACACATTTATTTCTTTCTTATGATATAACACAAATGGTTCATGAAAATAAGGGAACATGAAAGTTATAATTTTTAATTGAAAACATGATAAAAGTGTGAACTAGATATTTCACCTATTTTCCGCAGGTGCCTACCTCTATATATACTTACTGTCGCTAGAAATTATTATATCTAGTTACCTAGTAAGAGTTGTTGTATATGATTGTGGTGTACTTGTAACATAATATTTCCGTACACATTCAGACTCATAAAAATTCAAATACCTTGAATTCAAATAAATAAATATATCTTCAAATTACAATTGATATTTGAGCATTAGAATAAACTTACTTGGTAGTATAATGTTTATCGAAATTGTATAAAAATAACTAAGAACTACATAATACAAAGTACATGGTTTTAGGTAGAAATAATTTACAAAATTTTTGGCATTGTACAAAGTCGATGAAATAAATTAATCAATCTGAATAAACTATAAATTTCGGCCTTGAACCACAGGACACCCTGAAAAACAAAAATAAACACACTTTAAACTCATTTCAAACTGATAGTTTGGTGATTCTTGACGAAGGCTGAAGTTGTACCAAGTTGTAACTTGAATATATGGCTATACAATATGCAAGATATACAAGGTGTGCGGAGATGAAACCGACAAAAGTTGTCGGGTTATAGGGACTGCCAATTTGATTTCAAAATGCCAGAAACAAATGTCCAAAACCTATTCGTTGATGACGGATAAAGTGATTTATCGATTTTGACAAAAAAATCAACCGTGTTTCATACATCATATATATCAGCCCACGTCAAAAATCATTCTAAGAGAGGAAACTTACGACAGACTGAGCAGTGGTTTTCATCAGTACCATCTCCACAACCATCCCTACCAGAACAGGCTATGGCACTGGACCTGCACCTTCCGTTTCCACACCGAAGTGGACAATACTCGGTCCTTCTCCTTCTAGCTCTACCTTTGCAAATATGGGGTGGCTCATCACTTCCATCCCTACATCCTTCAGGACAAAAACAATGATATTAGTCTCCTCAGTCTAAGAAAAGCTATAGAAGAATGTTCAGTATGAGTATGATGAATGTCAGCTGTGTGAATTGATATACAGTGACGACGTAAAGCCCCTTACTCGATATCTTTTGAACGAAAAGAGCTAACTAGGTCGGATGGAATTCAGGTGGAGAGGTATAACATAACGTCGGCTTACTGTCGTAAGTCTTTCAGAGCTAATTGTTCAGGAGGAGAAAAAACGTTCTCCACTAGGTACTTCGAACGATTCAATTCAATTTTTTGAGGCTATTCCTCCTTTGTAAAGGTACCTGCTTGATGAATGAAATCAACATTCATATTCTCAATGTTCAAATAAACGACATACGAAGTATATTTACAAAAAAAAAATTGAACATCATTCAGACTGAATTGGTTTTGATAAATTACTAGTGAAAATTGTCATTTAGTTCAGCCTTGCTTCACAGTGCTTGTAGTAAATCATCGGCAGTTCTGATGAAAATGAGAAATATGGGTTCAACAATAACGAACCGAAATATTTCAATCAATGTCTTCATTTGGAATGAACAGAATTAAATTATACAAATATCCATAACATCTCAAAAGCTCTTAAGTTCTCTACTAGATAGATAACATACAGATCAGAACCTCGTAAGTCTGTTCACATGAAGAATCAAAACAAGATTGTCCTTCGCATCACTGCAGAAATATATAGTTCATCATAAACCTACTTTGGTGTCTGACATAGGGATTTCAGTTCAAATGATGAATCGAACAATAGAGATCAATACTTCCTCAACAAGCACAACTTAACCTTATCCTCTCTTGCAGACTTACGAGTTTTCGAGTTCAAAACCTCTCAAAGTAGAGTTAGGAGGTTCAAATTATATCTAATAGATGTCGCAACCAAAACCATAGACTCACGATGATTTGGTGATTGGTGCGCTGAATTTCGTAGATGGTGGAAATGTTCAAACTCAAAATTCCCTAGGATTCGGACTTACGAGGTTTTGGTAGTAAGCGAGGAACGCATGAATAACATGGAATGACTCACCTATGATAGCATTACAAAACTCATATTCTGGTAGACATTTTCCATCTCGACACTGGAAAGTATTGGGAGGGCAACCTCTCCTACCACTGGCTTGACAATTATCTTCGTCTTCACCGAGAGGACAGTCTTTAGAACCGTCACATCTGGATGCTCGTGAGACACATTTCCCTGATGATTTACACCTGAGAGAATACAAAAAGAACTTGGGTGTGATTCGCAAAGCCCAATTTGAGAAAATATTGGGACTATGAAAAATTGTTGATACTGAAGTCGTAGAGTGACGTCAGATTGTTTACAAAATGACAAATTGATAATGACCTGTCAAATATCTTACTGTTACTCATGTTTGCGAACACTAAGAGACATGACTCGCTGTCATGAACGACAGTTTGGACAGGTTACTGAGCTCTATGCATTGAGTAGAAGCGTTTCAGACGAGCAATTTAAACTGGATGCTGGGTTGCTGAGATAAGACTTAATAATAATTATGTCAGTAGATTAATTGCTTTTTATCTTAGAGAATTCAATTCTATATGAGATGATGATAGTGGTCCAGATAGTACTCATGTCAGTGGGTCGATATACGAGTATAGTCCCCCTGGGTAGTCCTGTTCAATCCTGGCGCTATCTCTATGTGTGAGTATATGCGTTACCATCGATCACGTCGGTAACGGTATATGTCATCAACTACTCATATTTGTATCTGAAATTATCATGTAGTAGGCGTCGCTGGGATGTAAGCCTGATATAAAATTAGGTAGTTGGATTGCGATAACGTCAGGAAAGTTGGCGAATGAAGCTTCAAATTGTATAGAGGAGCGCACTTATATACAAACTGAAAATTACATAGAACATTGGGGAACATCGTGGATTCTCTGATTCGATTGAGTGAAAGGAAGCAGAGAATGACTTTGTAGGGAATTCATTGAGACCACCAATATTATACCACAATATGACGTCATTTTATAGGTCATATGTGGTCAGAGACGTCATATACTGAAAATTACGAAAAAACAACGTCAATATGACGTCTTCTCAGGTTACTATACTATACTATCTGAGTACTCATTAAACTTTCTTGGTTCATTCTAGTGTCTCACCAAAATGATATAGGTTTGAGCGATTATTCACGACCATGAAATTTGGATTCGAACAGATTGTTCGAGAATTTGGCACCGTGATACCGTTTCGAATTCTATTGTTCCATATCCAATTCTTGAGAAACGAATTTCTATTGTAGTCGATTTATTTCAAAATCAATTTTCATGAACAGTATGGGTTCCAAAGTTTATAAATCAACAATAAATTCATTGGCTGATGATGTAATGACTGCAGAAATAAATGAGGTAACGGATTTAAAAACAACCCAGCTTCATGACGACTATGTCGATTTGGCAAAGTTACTCGAGATTCATATGGAAAGCTTACAAATCACTAAAGAGATATTCAAGTGAGAGAAGCAAAAATGTATTGAAATTGATTATTACCGCAGTAGTATCCAATATTCAATATGGAGTACCACAAGAAACAGTTTTTGGTGTGTTTTCGATTACATTGCAAGTTGTTAGTCAATGAATAATTTCATTTCACATACGTCAGGAGATGTTATCAGCTTTGCTGATGACTATGAAATATTTAATCTAAATTCCTATCGGGATAAACTGAGAAACATATGGTAGGAAGTGATACAAAAAGTATAGGAACATTCTTCAACAACGAATAATATACAGAGTTGATTGATGAATAGCAAGTACCATTTTTTTCATAAAGTTGAAATTATTATTGGCCAGGAATCGGTAGAAATTGTAATTACGAATAACACGAATTGAATAATCATATACCTACATATATTATCGTGGATAAAATGAAATTTTCAACCGAAATTTCAATTTCAGCTCGTTACATACGAATCTAACTCCACTTGCTTACCCAAGCGTCAAAAATGTTCGAAAAACTTCGAAGAAGCATGAGAATGCGTGTGTTTATAGGATATTCTTTCTCACTGATCTTTTATTGAAGTTTGTGTGATAAGAATCAGAACACTCAGTATAATGTGATATAGACCATATAATCAGAGTTCTGAATTCATGTTTCATCAAAGTGTGACTCAATCGAAAGCAGGACACCTCAATAAAAATTTGTATTTGTTCACCGATTTGGACGATCTTTCTTTTGAATTGTGGAGCTTGAAAAACTGTACTTCAGGACGAAACATGTTTTTCCCCAAATGACATTAGAAGTAAATTCTTAATGACACTTAACGGGCAGAAAAAGTGTACTTTCACTGCCTAGGCAGAAAAAGTTCGTTGCTATGCAACGTTCCAAGTCATTTGAATCAAATTGGTAATCAACATTGACAATGACATTGGTGAACAAAAAATTATGGATTATTTGGACTTTGCGTGAAATTGAGAAGAACTTGGAAAAAAATTATATGTTTCACATAGCAGAAGAGGAGATGTAATGTCTTGGCTGGTTTCCTAGCCTCGGATTCGCCTAGGCTATGAAATGCCAGCCGCGGCATTAAATCTCGTACTGTTCTGCCAAGTGAAACAAATAACAATTTTCTACAAAATCAAGGCCTACTATGTATAGGTAAATTTCAAGCAGGTCACACTGTATGTGAAACAATGTTTCTTACCTGAAAGCTTCTCCAGGACATTTGTTCGGCTTACAGTCCTCATCTGAACCGTCGCTACAATCTTTTCTTCCATCACAGACGAAAAACCAACTGATGCATGTCCCTGAACTTCGGCACTGAAAAGTAGACAATTTTCAGAAAATCTATCAGTCCAATTTCGGCTCAATACCCTAACAACACCAGTACATCCTAGGGACTTCCTATGGACGTCCCTGATTTTATACTAGGACATCCCAGGGATGTCCTCTGTCGGGACATCGTGCATACTAGGGATGTCCCAGGGACATCCGCTGGCCGCTAAAAAAGGCATCCAAGGGATGTCCTTCTGGTTCGTCCCTGGAATGTACCAAGTACGATACAAGGATATCCCTTGGACGTCCCGAGGATATCCCAGGGACATCCTTTCGACAAAAGCAAAAAAGGTGCAGGTCGAGTAGGGATTGAACCCGGGACCTTTGGCTTATCATGCACACACCTTGATCCATTGGCTATCATGCCTCCTAAAGATTTATGTACTGAACAGATTTATAAACAGGACTAAACTACAGAAACCTGAATAAATACAACTTTATTAGGAATTGGGTATAATTATTATCATTCTTGGGTGTTTAAAAATGAGGGGCATTATGCATGTACGATTTCTGTCTGCGAAAAATGGTAATTTCTTAAGAAATTCTGAGACTTTATTCTTTATTTTCCTTACAATCATTTTCCGGAAAAGAAACAAACATTTTCAAAAAAATTCAACTCAATATAGTTTGATGAAATTCAATGACTCTGATGTGAATGCACATCAGATACTCCAGGGACACGAATAGGATAACCTAGGGATGTACCGGGCTGGATGTCCACTGGACAACCACTGCAGGACATCCCCTGGATGTCCCAATCATGTCCTTGTACCGCGGGACAAAAAAGGGACGTACCTAGGACATCCCTGTGTTTTTAGGGTATAGGTAGTACCAAGGAGAAGAAAGAACGTTTATCCGAAGATAAGGATAATATCTTCCAATTTTATATTGAAAATGAAAGCAGATTCATTCATCCCGAAACCAAATAAGCTAAGTGAACGGGAGCCATTGAAACAATCTATGAGTTCTGATCTTATTTTGGCATTGTGACTGTGATAACGAATAGAACCAAAGAGCAAATGAAAGGGACTAATGCCCGCTTCACGAATATATAAAATTTGCTGCGACTCAAACTGAGCTAAGTTAGTGGCAGAGCGCTATATTTATGAGAATATTTCGCCCTTGTTCAAAGATTGTATCGGATAAACCAGTGTTAAACTCAACATATGAATCTGAATACTCTTGTAGTGCGAACACCACCTGAAATTTGTACTGGTTCATCAGATACTCGATCGGATATTATCTTTCAACAAGAACGAATGATTTTCGGGAACATTGACGCTCTGCCATTAACTTAGATCAATTTGAATCGCGGCAGGTTTGGATATTCACAAACGGAACATTATCTCTTTTCATTTGCTTTTTGTTTCAACTCGTTATCACATGACGAAAGTATGTCCGGCATAACAGCAGTAAATAAATCGCTGTGCCGTGCGGATTCGACTCAGATTGAGGTGTCATCGAATCGCGAAATTATGTGCCAATTACTGCACAGGGAAGTGCAATTTTTCAATAATACTGCGCAGGATAGTGATGGCCAAAGGTGCCGTTTCATGAAATACAATGTTTCTAAATGACTTCGGAATATATAACATTTCGTTATCAGATAACGGTAGAAATTTGCAGTCAGATTTCCTACTATTAGCCATCATGACCATGGAAAGATAACTGTGATATTGATCCATAAGATTTGACGACTGTTAACGTATATCAAATGCACAAAATCGAATCAGTCAAAATGATTATTATATTTCGAAACATATAAAATGACTATTGACGTGTCTTTGGTGTATTGAACTTGTCGACTGTTATTTTGATTTATACAGATATATTTTTCCGAATATCTCCAATGACTTTTTCAACTTTTTCACTGCACTATGAAGCTTCGAATTTTTCATAAGGATGCCACTGATTGTGCTTATTTGATCGGTCCCAGACTGCCTGTCATTCTTCATATTCAACAAACATATTCGGACATCATAATTGTTGTGATTTATTGCATGAATCATTGAATGAAATCCTTACTCCCACCAATATGGCAAGATAATTGAGTATATATTGAATACAGGGATGTACAGGCTGTCTGATTTTCGATACCCACTATATCTCTATGCAGAGAAGCTATTCTGATATATGATTTCCTATTTGTTGATAGACTGCTTCGAAAAAGAATGAAATTTTCTGGTTTTCTTGAACCCAATTCGTAACGTTATGTACAGGTATGATACTCATGGAATCCATAAACCTCAGGACTTCGAGGAAGAAAATGAAGGACTAAATCGGCCAAGAAAAATTGAAAATATTATCAAGTTGATGAAACGACCGCTAGGAGGCGCAATCTTTATGATAAAGACTAAAAATTCAATTTTTATCGAAAATCACTAAATTAAGGTGCGGATAGAGATATGGAATCACAGTTTTCGACAAAATGCACCTAATTCAATGCATTTTCAATCTAAATACTGTCTGTTGATCAAAATATGTAGCATTCCATTCGATTTTTTCGAAAAAAAAAACAGAATCTTTGGTAAACGACGCCATCTAGTAGACGCTGTGTGAACTAGAGATCAATGTCAAATTCAGTGTTTAAATTGGTGTGAAATTCTCTTCCAAATAAGTCCAAGTTGATCAGTTTTGGATAAAGGATATCGGAGATAAACCGTTTTCAAAAATGATTTCTTCACCAGCTTCCCCCACCTTTATTTTTCAAGATATGAAAAAAAAGTCCCGCAACAAACTGACGCGAATTCCAATGAACTCTGCATTTCCGTCATTGAAACAGTACCTTAATATAGTGGTTTTCGAAAAAAAATGAATTTTTAGTTTTATCATAAAGATTCCGCCCCCTAGTGGTCGTTTTATAAACTTGAAAATATTTTCTATCAATTTTTCATGGCCGATTATTTAGTCCTCAAATTTTTCTTCTCGAAGTTTTGAAGTTTATGGTGTCCATGATATCGTACCTCGCCGACCTTAGTGGGACACCCTGTATAATCTGAATAATTTTCATTGTGAAGTTGTATTCAAGTTTTTCTGCAATGAATTTATCCTGTTGCTTATGGACAATATGTTGTTCATCACTTCCACATCGAAAAAAAAACTACCTATTTCGTGAATGCCTGAATAGTCTACATCATCAAATCTCTAGGTTTATTCGGTACTTCTGAACACAATAATCCGTTGTCCTTTTAGGCTTTCAAAATACTCTAGTAACTGGTAACTCTCAACTATGAATTTCATCATCTCCCATTATCAATGCATTCGGCCATGATAATCTATACTTACGCATGTATGCGACCATATGCGACCAATATTGTGTTACCTCCTCTTCTCATATACACCGTGTCCCAGCTAAAATGCCCCCCCTGTAAAAAATCAACCGCGCGATCGAATGACTTTAAATTTGGTCACCCAGTATATTTGATGATGCTGATTTAAAATTTGCTATGGAATGAATCATAGGTATACAGAGTCAAACCGAAGTGCACCTAAACTTTCCTATTCGAATCGGGACACCCAGTATATTATTCCATATTCAAGTAGAGTTCATTATTTCAAATTCAACAATGCCGAGTTCCTACTACTCACTACCGTGACTACGAAGATATGGCAAAAAATAAAACGATTCAATAAAGAATTTATGATTAGATTTCATTAATATAACACGATTGGAATCGAATGAAAAGATAATAATTAAAACCTCAACTACTCAATATGTCGTCCATTCTGCTGCAAACATTTCCTAGCTCTTTTGATAACGTTTATTGTGACCCTATGTAAGAAGAAGAAAGAAAGAATTTTATTCATCTATGAGGACTATACATTACACATATGACAAAGATATAGTACAATCATAGATTAAATCTATGGTACAATGCACCATCCTATCAGACTAGTCAGTTCACAAAAAACAAAATGGACAAACAACAGACAATGACATGCTATAGAATACCTAGTAATTATATCCAAAAGGAACATCATTATATAGGACAATAATAAATATTAATAGGTACACACAGATTTTTTAAAATTTGAGGAATTCCTCAACACTATAAAATGCATTAGAAATTAGAAATGAGTGGACCTTATTTGAGTTTACATTCATCATTATGTAATTGATCTTATTGAAACACTCAATTCCAATGTGCTTTGGTGACTGCTGACCTATGTGTAGCCGTGAGAATGGTTGATGGATATTTGATTTTTGTCTTGTGTTATATGAATGTATATCTTCATTTTTGTTAAAAGCTTCCTCATTTCCTTTGACATACAGTATCAAGTGAAAAATGAAAAGACTAGGTAACGTCAGAATCTCTGATTTTTTAAAAAGTGGTTTAGATGATGTTATTGGTGATGGCACATCCCAGTAAACATTTTTTTGTTTCTGAAATGTTTCAGAAACGTAGTATTGATGCATGGAACATTGCATTCAAAGTTGCCTACATGTTCCAGAAACATTCCAGAAACTAGAGATGTCCGCCCTCAGGAATGTTTCATGGTAATGTTCCTAAATAATTAATGTGTCAAATACGCAAATTGAAACATTTTGGAAACATTTCTACCATGATCATATCCTAGGATATGTAGGAATGTTCCATGCAATATTTCATAAATATTTCTTTCGTTATATTATATGAAATGTTTCAGAAATATTCGTGAAACCAAAAGATATTTGCCCTCAGAACTGTTTCATGAATGATGTTTCGAATACAAATGCTTGAAACATTCTGGAAACATTCCCAATATGATTAGATCTTTAGGAATGTTTCTTGGTACATTCCATGAATATTTTTGAAACGATAAATTTTCGCCACCAGAGCTGTTTCATAAATAATGTTTCAAATACATATATACAGAAACATCCTGGGAACATTCATTGTAGAACTTTCGGGAATGTTTCATGAAACATTTCATGAATGTTTTTCATTCAACAATATTACTGTTTATGAAACATTCCCATTGAATGTTTCAGAATGAAAAATACC